GACACGGGGGGAGGAGAGGGCCGGCGGCGGGCATCCTCTACCCAAAGAGCCAGTCCCCGCTCCGGGCAGCCTCCGGCATGCCATGTCTCACAGCCAGCGCCGCCAAGAGCTCTCAGCCATCCAGGCTGAGGCAGAGGGGCCACGCAGGGCCCCAGTACCTTCCTGCTGGCGGGAGAGCAAGCGGCAGGGAGGCTGCCCCTCTCCAAGCTGCCCGGTTTTGCAGGGCCACGGCTGGGGCACTCCTGGATGCCCCAGGACCCACAGGCAGTGATGGCTCACGGTGCCATGGGGAACGTCACCCCGTCACCTGCAGCAGCATCAGGGAGGTAACCGGCTGCAAGGAGCTGGCAAAAGCAGGGGTACACGGGCACGGTGATTCCCTGGACATATCCATGGCTGGGGACCAGCCAGGGCGCGGGAAGCTGCAGGGGGTGCGTGGAGCGGCCCCCCGGGAAAAGGAGGGGGGGCTGGCTTTGAACCAGCAGCTGGGGCCACTGCTGCTCCATACCAGCTGGGCGACCTTGGAAGCCGTTTGCCAGGCCTGAATAAAGCGACAATAATCCTATTCACCTTTTAGCCGCATTTCCTAAGGCAACAAAGCACATGTCCTTGCCACGTGCAGTCACAGGTGTCACCGAAACCCTGATCCTGTTTGCACGGCTCCCTGGGGGCACGGGGGAAGTTTTGCTCATCACCCCTCTGACGAGCTTTGCCCAGGGGGTAGGAGCGGGGCAGGAGCCCCACCGGGGACACGGAGAGCCCTAGGCAGGCGGTTTGCCAGGCACACAGCCCCAGGGAGCTGGCAGCAGAGCTGACCTCCCCATCCCAGCCGGACAAGGCACCGGCGATGCCCCTCGGCTGCACAGCTGGAGCAGGGCAGCTGGGAGCTCACATGCCCCGGCTGGTCCTGGCCTGTGGGCTCAGGGCGCACCCAGCTGCACCCAGCGGGCCCCAGGCACCCATCGGCCACCGCTCTGCACAGCCAGGCGCTGCCCGGGCAGGCCTGCTGCCTGCAGAGGTGCCTGTGCCGCACAGCTGGTCTCGGAGGAGCTCAGCATCTTGGGAGGAGCAAGAGGGAAAAATACCTTCCCAGTGCAGTGCTGGAGGGTTTTGAGGGCTCGGCGGAGCCCACCCTTCCACCCAGGCAGAGGCCAAGCGGTGGCCGTGGCGCCCTCCCCAGGAGGGGCAGAGATGCTCGCCAGGCCAGCCCTGCCCAGACATTCCTGCCCGCTCCCGGAGGCTGGGGAGGGAGGAAAGACAGTTGCTGCGAGTCCCAGAGGCCGCCCTGCAGCCCCGGCAGAGCAGCCAGCCCACCCACCGCTCCCTGCCAGGGCTGCGGGGCAGGAGCTGGCTCACAGCTGACACGGAAACCCCCGCAGCCTGGCACAGACCGGGGCAGAGCCTCACCCACGCACCACACAGCCATTCCCTTGAAGTACTTTATTAAATAGTTTCCAAAAAAACAGAAGCAGAAAGACTCAGAACTACCCCGTCCCTCCCAGCTAGTTAAAAACTACAAACAGCCCATCCGCGTGCCCTGCAGTGCCAGGCAGCTGCCAGGCACGTCCTGCCCGATGTCCCGGCCCTTCCCAGCCCGCTCCCTGCCAACAGGGCTCCAGCATCACGGGGAGGGGCGGCAGGAGGGTCACCCCCAGCCCTTCCTGCTCAGACACCCCAAAGGCTGCAGAAAGCTCAGCAACGCTCACACGCTTCCCACCCAAAGCAACCACTCGCCAGCCCCAGAGCCTCCCCAAACCGCTCCTCCCACGCAGGGCCGAGGAGGAGCTGAACGTGCCCCAGCGACGGGCAGCCAACACCAGGTTTTGCTGTCACTCCTCATCCAGCCAGAGCCACCAGCTCCCCTGTTTCTGTGGATTTGTGAACGACCCTCCCCCTCCCCACCCGTCTCCCACCCAGGAACTTTATAAAAGGGTTTGGTTTTGCTTTTTGCTTTTTCTACAAAGACAGTGGTGGGATTTCCTTTGCAACAGCAGAACAGTCTCCCTGCGAGGTAGAGAGTTAGTTTCAGGGCTGACAGATCCTAAATTCAAACCAGTTTGTCCTAGTTGAGGTAAAATTCAGTAGTTTATAGTAAGTTTTGCATGCCAGAGGGCCATCAAGATTCCTCATTGCCAGAGTCATCCTCATCACCATAACAGCTGTCTGCTTCCTCCTCCATCTCATCATCCTCATAATAGTCATCATAGAAGAGGTCTGAGCCCTCATCTGGGGCTGGAGTCTTGGTCTTTACACAGTACTCTGCCAGCGTGGTGGGGACCTTCACGCCATCCCGCTCGGCGTCCACCTTCGTGCCCAAGACTTGCTTCCTGGAAGGTGAGAAGCGGGGGGTAAGGACGGAGCTTTGCACAGCACACCCACGTCGCCACGTGTGGCTCACGCCCGGTGACACAGCCCTTCCCGTCTCACGCCCCAGCTCATGGTCGCTCGCCCACACAAGACTGGTGAAAGGGCAGGGGAGGGAGAGCACCGTGGAGCAAGTGTGGTGGCACCGTGTCTGCTACGAACCCAGAATCCTCAGCTCTGGAGCAGAAAAGGGCCAGAGCTTAGGCTGAGAGCAAAGCCGGGCACATAACCCAACCAAGCTTCTCCCAAAAGCCACACTCAGCCAGAATCCCTCCCTCCCACCAGTCTGCAGATGGGACTCAAGAGGGCAGGATACGCCCTTAAGATCCTCTGTGCCCTAACAAGACCATAGCTTAGCAAGCGTTCTCGACAGTGCCACAGCACTGCTGGGCCTGGGCTCAGCTCAGCACGCACCTGATGATGTCCATGTACTCCCGGTCCTTCCCTTTGCTCTCCTTCCACTTGCGGTACATCACGGAGGCGTCCACGTTGGCTGGAGAAAATGTGTTGGGTTCATTCAGCAGTGAGATCACGCTCAGGAGAATGGTCCTGGCAATCAATAAACAGCAGCAGGTAAGAGCCGAGGCAGGTCAGCAACTGCTCACGTCCCAGCAATGCCAGCAGCCTCAGTGCCACAGCGCAGCTGCGTCCCATGGGTCAGGGAGAGAGCCTGGTGCTGGCCCACCAGCAAGGGGGTACCCCAGCGAAGTCAAGCAGGCCAGGCAGGAGACAGCAGCGCACGGGCTGTCGGGCTCACACACATCCCCGTGCAAGCTCTAGCTGTTCCTTGGCAAAGCACACAGCCCGAGTGCCTTTCGGCAACCTCTAGGCATCTCCCGCAGGCTTTGGGAGAGGAAGGCTGTCCCCATCTCCCCGTTTTCCCATCCCTGCCCTCAGACCAGCCTCCTGCCCGCAGCTCCCTCCCCACGCAGCCCTTACCGCACGTTCTGGGTGGGGTTCCACCGCTCAGACGGCAGCTCCCCGCTCTGCGGGTCATCCACCGGCGGATGGAGGATGGAGATGCAGACATCACCGGTCTGAAAGCACAAGTGAAACAGGATCCTTAGGAGCTGCTGCCCCAAGCACCCCCCAGCAGCAGCTCGGTCCTCTGCTCCAGTAGCCTGCTTGCTCTTCACTTTGGCTTAAGCCAGGTGAGGCAATCTCAGCCCGTTCTTTCGGTCCCTAGGAAGGGACAGCAGAAGCGGTGGTCCCCGCTATGCTGCCCGCAGACTCAGGCCTTGGATAAGTTGGATAAGCACCCCATGACTGCCAGCACAGTACAGACGAGGCTGCCTAACCATCAACTGTCCGATGCCTGAACACGCTGCGTCCCCAGCACAGCCCTCCCGGCGCCCCCCCGACAACAGCCCAACCCCACGCGCCCCCAGGCAGGAATCCACCGCAAGCACGCAGCCCCGGGACCACGCACATCGCTCGCTCTACGTAAGCACGACGTCCCCACCAGCCAAGCGTGGGAGCCTTCAAGCCTGGCTGACCTGGAACGAGCTCCAGGACAGGAGACGGGCTGTTGTAAGCTCATTAGCTGCGTTTCCAGTGCCAGGCACTAAACACCAAAGGCACTGAGTTTCCAATGCCAGACAAAGGCTGGCATTTTCACCCAGTACTGTCACAACAGATGGACACGTGCCCCCTCCGGCTGTCCCAGGTGCCCTGTGCCATCCCAGACAACCTACCTCGTAGATATTGGGATGCCACATTTTGGTCAAGAACCTAAAGGCAGGAGGAGAATAGGGGTAGTCGATGGGAAACCGGAGACGAGCCTGCAAGGAAACAATAAGGAGAAGTGAGCATCAGCTTGTGAGCAGGAAGGGAAGGAAACCACGGATCTCCCAACACCAGCAGGAAAAAGGAACCTCTGCCAAGTCCAGCTGTGCTCCGCAGAGACAGAGCCTCCGCGCCCGCCGGCTCTGCAGGCAGGACACCAGCAGCGTGGCTGCCCTGCCACCGCACAGAGGAAGGCAAGTGGATGGGCCTGCGAGCTGCGGCAGCTCCCTCACCGCCATCCTGCCCCACAACCTCTTCTCCACTGGGGCCCACCCACACTAACCTGGTGCTCTCCGATGCGGAGGGAGGCAGCGAGCCCCAGGCAGAGCGCAGCGGGAGCTCGCAGTGCCGCTCCGGCACACGCCTCACACGCTCGCCGTCCCCTCCCACACCGGCACCCATGGCACAGGGTGACAATGCCAAGGGCTGGCTGCTTCTGGATGGCAAACAGCAGCAAGGCGAGGGCCTCGTGGCTGTAAGGCGGCAGACGAGGCTGGGGACCCCAGCTCAAGCCGCACGCCTGAACAAACCAAGCAGCACTCAAGCCAGACTGCAAGTCCAGGGTCATCCCCGGTCCTGCTGTCAGGGACACGCGATGGCCGCGCCACCAGAGGAAAGGCTGTTTACCCTTCACAGCTCACAGGGAAGGAAGCATCAGGTGCTCGGTGCTCCGATTAACACACTGAAGCTCTAAAAATAGCCCATCACCGCTGCAAAAAGAGACCAAGTCAGAACTGGCCACAGCGCGTAGCTCAGGTGCTAAAAATAAAGGCACATGAAGATCACGCCGCAGTCCACGACTCCAGCACCAGCAGAGACAACTGGCCCGCCACTGGCTTTTCCTGGAGGCAATGGCCATAAAACCCGAGGTATTAAGGCAGGTCAAAAGGACAGGCCCGCTGTCAGCCTCTGAGTGAGAAGGTGAAGCCTGAGGTGGGACGGAGACGTACAGCAACATCCCCATCTTCCCCAGAGAGCTGCTGCCCCAGCCCACCGGCGCCAGGCATCCCACGAGGACAGGGGCAGCTTCTCCCCGCATCGCTGAACAACCTGCAGTGACCGTTTCAGCTTTCGGGTGTTTCCAGGCTCTGGAAGGAAGCTTCCAGATCGAGATTCAGCTGCTGCTCCCAAAAAAGCCAACAGCCAGAAACAAACAAAAAAATAGTGAAGATTTAAAACACGCAACAACTCCCTGAACATTTCTTGCTCCCTCAATTCACGTACATGAGAATTTAGATGTTGGATCTGTGATGTGAGAGCACAAACTACCCCAGCTCTGCCCAGCAGCGGGGGACAGCGATCCGGGATCACTCTTCACCTGCGGAACGAGCCCGGCGCGGGCCCCGTTCGGGGGGGTAACTGCAAGCGAGGCTTCGGATGCTTCTGGAATTACAGCCTCGACAATAGGAGACGCTGCCAAACCCAGTCATCAGCTCACAGCCGTTAAGAGATTAGTGTAGAAGGCAGAGAGACATCTGTCCTCCTCCCTGCTGCCCTGACCAACCCCAACGCCATCCTGGGTCCCAACCCCTCTGCTCTCCACCCCCCTCCCACCCTGCCAGGATCTGGCCCCAGCACAAGTTGATCTTATCGCGAGTCCAAGGAGCCCCCGACCGCGGCGGGTCCGTCCCTACGTGCGTTACTGCCTTGCCTCCCAGGCTGGCCCTTTGTCTGACCGCTCTGTGCTCTGCAGCACAGGACAAGGGGTGGAAAGAAGGAAAAGCGAGGTGGCAGCTGGGGCCGGACGCGTTTTGTGTGCGTGGAGCTCCGGGCAGCCCAGGGCAGCATGCGTGCACACAGCAACACACGGCCCTGTGCTGGGCTCTGGCCAAACAGCTGAACTTTGCAGAATAATCCCCTTTGTTGTGTCAGAAGGGATCAGAACAAAACCAGTCAGAGGCAAAGCAATCACGAAGGAGGCTCGGAAAGCAACCCTGCTTTGCCATACACAAACGGTCTGACGTTAGCACGAGCTGGAAGAGGCCTGGGCCCCTTCACTCCTCTTACGCAGAAAGTCTCATCTACTGCCACCCAACAGTGCCGAGTCTGGAAGCTCTCAGGCACAAAACAGGAGCACAAGCTGCTGAAAGGGTGAGAGTTCAAAGGGCCCAGTGCCAAAAGAGGCTACGGAAAAAGACTCCATTTCAGCGAAGAGATAAAACCTGACTCTGAAGCATCAGACTTGCCTGCCACCGCTCCATGAGAAAAACAAACCACCCATCTTCTGGGGCACAGCTGACCCTTGGGCTGACTCACCCCGGGCGCATCCCCACCCTGCCAACAACAGGATGAAGACAGAACTCATAGTGGAGGAGGGAGGATGAGAAAGAGGAAGAAAACACAGGTTGCACAACACCTAGGAAGAGCACATACACATCCTCCTGATAGGGACTGCGCAGTTGGGCTGCGCACGCCTTCTTCCCCCACTCAAACCCCAAACAAAACCGCAGCACCCGCTCCCCACCCAGCTCGAGCTGCTGCTCGCTCGGCCCAAGCCGTCTGTGCCTGCACAGGAGAGCTCTTTGTCTCTTCCCTCTAGTTTGGTGGCGATGCCCCAGATCCCTTCTGGGAGAGGGAACACCAGCGACCCTGCGCCCACAGTCTGTGGGGATGGAGGGGGCGGGAAGGAAAAGCCCTCAGAGGCAGAGCCCCTGGGGGCCCAAATCCCCCTTCTGACAAAGGCGGTCCTTGCCTCATTTGGCAGCAGGCACCTGTGCACAGGCTCCTTTCCTCACCCCAGCTCCTCCTCGCAGGCACCCCAGGAACACCCCGGCTCCCAAAACCCCAGCGACCCCAAGGTGCCCAGCTACAGACCCAGGTCTCCCTGGCCCTCGTCACCCCCTCAAGCCCAGGGGCACCCCTGCCATGCCCCCCCAGTACCCACCTCAACCTGACCCCCGAGACCCGCTCCCTCTCACCCCACAGCCCCTTCCCAGGGTCTCCCCGCTCTCCTGCGGTCTCTCTCCCTTCCCAAGGCATCCTCTCCCCAGTGCATCCCCCAACACCACCCACTCTGCCTTCACCCCTCCAAAGCCCCATCTCCCACCACACACCTCCACCCCCGGCCCCCGCCACGCCACCAGAGCTTCGCCTCCTCGAGACCTCGGTCCTCCCGACACCGCACCCCGCCCTGCTGCCCCCAGCCCCTCACCTTGAAGTACCCGCCCTCATAGTAGGTGTTCGGGGGGCCGAAGATGGCCACCTCCCAGTTGTAGAGGTCCCCCTCGTCCACCAGGTTGACCCGGAACCCTTCCACGGGCTCCTCCTGCAGCCCTTTGAGCTCCAGCAGCAGCGCCTTCTGCGAGCTGGGCACGAGGGGCCGCGCCATACCGAGGAGCCGGGATAGGCCGCGAGCGAAGCCGGGAACTGGCGTAGGCGCGACGGCCGCTGCGAGGCGGGGGGCGGCGGGGACGGGTCCGG